ACTCATCAGACTGTTAGATAAAAATTTATGTACCATATGGGTGAAGCATTGAAAAGTTATAATTTAGAAAATGGATAGCTTTTGGTCTGCCATAGTGGTTAAATTAGATGTTCAGCCAAACCTTTGATACAAAAATTGATCGTGGAAGCGCTTTGGCCTCCTCCTGCTCTGAGCTTTAAGTGCTAATCAAAGCTGAGCTTTCAGAAGCCGTTGACAGTTCCCAATATTTGAAGATCTGCAACCCTCCTCCTTCCTGAACCAAGATCAATCGCGATAGAGATTGCGGTAAACTGCTGAAACAAAGAAGCCAAGGATCCTGGTTTCTAGATGGGGCGCGTCAGGGTAAAAAAGATGGCTTCTATTGACACAATGGAAAGTGATTCGGCGAGTAATGATCACACTTGCCGGAATCTGGATTGTATACTAGGTGCGGCTTGCGAGTAGGACGTGTGTGTGTTGTGTGTTGGTTGTTGGTTGTGACAGTCAGCTTGAGCCGTTTGCGAAAACAGAACCCTTCCAGATTGTGATATTCGCTGTGTTCACGGTTTTACAGCATTTGTATAATGAGGTACTGGTTGCTGAATGTTGAAGGAAATATGACATTCCAAAAGCATGCCTATGTGTAACTTGTTCTTATATATTGCATGCTGGCCTCCTAGTCGAAGCCTTTCGTATTTCAGCTTCCAGAAAAAAGCCCATGGAATGAAATAAATGGTTTATGTTCAACCGGTATGTCTAACAGAGTTAAATCCCCTTTCTTAATCTCCACATCAGCTGAAGTAATATGAAGAGAAAGTAGAGTCAATCTTTACGTGACTCAGTCATTTAGCACTCATTATAAGTCGACAGCAACGCTGCAGTACGAAGTTCAACCGTCGTTCTTACTTCCTCGTTAAAATAACTGTCTCCATTCCATACAAAAATATTTACATGACAGAAGCAAGGTATAGGCTGATTTTTGTGGGAGCTGCTAGTCCTGTCTCAGAGCAAATATTCCACAGGTTTCCAAAAGCGAATGAGAAAACAAAGAAGACATGTAAATTCTTCCGTTACCAATTTGAAATCAGCCGCATTATCGATCCTCAGGCGCTACCTCGAAACATTCCCTATCTTAAGCTATGGCTACAATCAGTTGGACTTCTTTCATCGCTTTAAACCAGCTCGAAGGTTTATGGCTTGGCATATAAATACCTTATAAATCCCACTTTTTACAAGTATCCGCAGGTCTGTTGACAATATTAGGCCAACTTCCCAAAATATCTAGGCGTTGGTTGTAAATTATAGGTAGCAAAACTTTATTGAATTTAAATATTTCGCTATCATTTATTATTTACGCAGCGTAATGCGGAGTCAGAGAGTGCATGGCCAGTGTTTATCTCGCGGCAAGATATCCGCAATGATTTTGCCTACCGATTTGGTAAACCATTTCTGTGGTAGCTCAGGTCTGATCTCATTGACTCTGTTTTAATTATGAACCTTAACAAACACGCTTAAGGGTTTATACCGTCGCATAGGAGGGAATGAAAGGGTCTGGGAGTGCTAGCGTTCCTTTTCATCATTATCTGTTATTGATCCACTGTTGGATGAAGGTCTCTCCCCTCAGATTTTTCTGCAACATTTTGTCACATGTAGTCCTTATCCAAGCTGCTTCAAAAACTTTCCTAAATTTTTCTGCAAAAAATCAAGGGGAGCTTTTCCTACCATCCAACATTTCCTATTATTCCTAGTTTTCCTAGCATCACATTGGACCAGAAATAGTTGCTTCTTCTTGCAAAGTACCCTGATTTTAGCCATTTCAACTTCTTTGCTCTTGCAAGGACATTTGAAACTCCTGATGCTGCCTTACCCATTTGTTGGCGTACAGCGAGGAAGTGTTCCAGTAACTGCACTGCTTTTTTCTTCTTCTTCCTGCTCGCAAATAATCTGAGATCGCTTTCAAACTCCTTCGTTTTGTAATTTGGCTTCCCTCTGGATCACTATGGTTAATTTCGCTAGGTGAGGTGATTCTTTATGAATGCTGTTTATTACTGGCCCTTTTTCAGAGCCGCAAGCAATTTAAGCAATAATTGGTTATTGTAAAGTGGCTCCAGCGGTCTATGGTGGTTTGGCTCAGCTATTTCGACAGCAGAATGTTTATTTTCTTGCTGTCGCCGCTTTGAATCTGTATAACTGGACATTGGTCAGCTGCATTAAATACATGACTTATCCCATCATGTGATATAACAATGGATAGCTCTCTGTGAGTAAGTCAAAAACCGCTGCAGCCCAACGTCTCATTCCGTGGTTCCAGAATTACTAAATGTAAATAAGCTGATCTCGCACGGCGTACTGCACGACTCTGTTGCTCCTAATTGACCCTGGTGGGGGCATTTAATCAGGCAACGTGTCAATGGTGGTTGAGCGCCTACAGTGGAGAAATCTGGCCTTGAAGCAGTAGTGCATTATTTGACATACTCCGGTGCACGAAAATATTATATATCGTATGAGTTCAGTGTTTATGCGGTAACATATGAGACGCATCAACTCCTGCAATCTCCTGCAACCTCGTTCGTTCCGGAGGAGAATGATGCGAGATACATCAAGCACTGCAGGGTCTCAAATACCACGGAGGTGAAATGCCAAAATTGTTCCTAAGCAACCTCGAGCAACGGGACGCGCGATGCGGTGTGAATTGTGGTCTTGGATGAATGATGTGATATTTGACGTTTTGGAGTTTTTTATGTTCATAAGCATCGTTCCTACGGTATAAGGAAGCTCTTTATTGATGTATCATGAGACATTTGCTATATTTGTTTCATAGCATGTAGCAGTGTCCGTGTTAGGCAGTTGGGCACATCTACGACATCAATATTGATTATCTGATTTTATTAAAATTAGGTATTAAACTATACACTGCCTTGAAAGTAAATTTCAATCGCCAGCTTGTCGACTTCTACTCCGTTCACACTTGGCGAACGGACATTCAGCTAAACGACAGAGCGGCGCTTGTCTTAAAAAAGAATGGCATCACATTTTTTCCATCCGTTAAATGAGGCGTTCAACCGTTGTCGGCTAACTAGTCAGAGATAACATAGTTGGAACAGATCTCATTACTCTTTATAGCCAATCTGCTGCATAGAATGACATTCGGTAAACAAATCCACAGCTAATGACTGGAAGACCTCTTACTAACTAATCCCAAAAGACTTCAGGTAAAGTCTTCATTTCATGAGCACATTTTTAAGCAGAGTGTAGCGGTCTATGGTTGCAGAGTAACGCCCAGTCAGGTAAAATCAAGAAATCGACATATGAGTATCATACATACATATGGATTCGTACAAAAGATAAAACGTTGTTTATTTACACACAACGCAAACAGAATAGTCAGTCACATGATTGAGCAGTACCGAGATTTCCGCTGGTGTCTCGCGGACCTTCTTCAACGCATAGAGGTTGATTCCATAAGTTCTTTCTGTGGCTTGCACCTGTTGCAATGTTTAGAGCTAGTTGTTTTACAATCATCAACTTAAACTAGGTAATTGGAAACTAGAATTAGAAACCTCATTTACAAGGTATAACAAATCATGGACAGTGAATGAGTTGAGTTGCTCTTACGCTGGTGGGACACTGCTTTAATACGAGGAAACCCCATTAAACCTAGTTCGATGGCACAGGTTTGTCGAAATGGTATTATTTTTCTGACGCTTCGGTATCTCTTACCCACGAAGGTCCCCACGGTATGGCTTTCGACACTGTTCCTGACGTAATAGTTACTTGCAGCAGGGGCTGTCTGACCAATAAGGCAAGATTCGCTCAGGCGTTTTCCATCGTCGTTTGGCATTCGTCTGTTCCGTCACTAACGTGATTCTCTGTTGAGGTGACAGATGGTCTGGTAGGTTGCAAGTCTCGCTGATCTGCTTCGAAGGCATGGCGCCTTCCGTCTGCTCTGTGCGAGACTATGTCACAATCAAATTATACTCGCAAAGCTGTTTCGCACAACCTTGCGCAATTTGGATGCGCTTGCAAACGGACGACGGCCCTCTGCCGGGAGTCTCGTGAGCGAGTAGCCGAGTAAATTGCATTTCTCGATTCCTGCTGCGACTCATAAACGCCATCCTGCTCGACGTTGCAGTGGGTAGAATTTTAACGACCACTTTTACCGCGCAATGATTGGCCAAGTCGTGATTTTCAGTGTGAAGAGACCTAGTGGCCAGCGGCAATGAAATCTACTGCCGAGTGCAAAACTGAATTGAGTTTGAAATTTCACGATGCCCCGTATCTAGCACAGATTTACCAGTAGTATATCTGGCAGTTCAGGCAGCTAATTTTGCCAGCAATATTTGGCACATTGAACAGGAATCTTTGTTTTGCAAATTGCCTTTATTCATTGCGTATAAATATACTTCTACGTTGGAACGCATACAGCAAGATACTCTGCTTCGCATCGATCAAATGGGGATAGCAACCTCTTTGAGATGGTAAAGCATCAGAACCGCAATTAGCACCCCACCCTGAACTCAGTGAAAGAATTATGCCACAAATGGCGTCAATGTGTTTGTGTGATCGTCATTTAGACTCTGAGCCAAAATGTCGTGCTCGGAATGTAGTCTGTTATGTTTTATTGGTAGCTCATCTCTTTCTGGTTTTTGATTGATATCGTAACTTTTTGTACAGCGAATGGCAGAATATTAAGGTTAGTAGTAATCCGCGTAATATAGAAAATCCGTTAGTGACGGACAAAAAATTGGGTTCACGAATTGTAGGTTTATTGAAGCAGTTCAAAGTGATACAGTACATGTTTCAAGAATTAATATGCTTAATGTTTACAATTGCAAATGGGCTTTTCATGGCAAATAAAGAAGCCTACAGAATATAATCGTCTGTTTCTTTATCCGTGATGATTACACCATTCTCGAAACCCAATATGGGAATGCAGGTCAGACGGTTAAAATCAATACAGGCATATGTGTTCTATGCAATAACCAGCTTCTCAGGGCAGTGTAATTTGCAGCAGTTGACCATAGTAACAGCAAACGCCAAATGCATGTGATCAGCAAGGACGCAGAACTGAGTACCGGGAGTCTATTTCTATTTTGAGACGTTCATCGTGCCATTGAGTCATAAGGCACTTCAGATGTATGCTAATCATGCGTAAATCCCGATTTGCTCGAAACAGTTGCGTTATGAAACCTTGAAATGGGATTGTTTCAAAATGATGGCCATTTTCAGTATGATGGAACTGTTATCACTAAAGGTGATGTCATTAATCCTAAAACTAAACGGGATGTTGGACTGGCATCGGTGAATCTTGAAAACCTGTATGAAATGCGGAACATGTTTAGCCATTCGAAGAGCAATGAATAACTTCACAATAGAAATAGCTGCATTATGGATTGTCATACATTGTCTGAAACATCGAGGAGAGTACAACGTTATGAATCTACTCGATAAAACATCTCCACAGTTTCATGGCATAACCTAGTCATGCACTAGAACACTGCTGAAGTATTCCAGGAAGGCCAGGAATGGCTTTGTGTGCAAGTGTATCCAAGAACATTGCTCCAGGCTTTGGGTGCCTTCTGGCAAAAGGATCATTATCTTTAGTGGTACTGTAGTTATTGCCTCCATAACTCGAAAAGGGAATTGATAATCGAAATTGACTTACTAACCTACTATTTTCACATTTATGGTAATGATAAACAATCGAAATGAAATGTTTAGTTTACACTCATATTTTCCTCACGTTTAATTGATGTTCCTTTGATTTAATCATTAGAACTAAAGATCTCATACGTCAGAGGACGTCATCTGACAGAAATCAAACTATTATATGCCGTGAAATCAATTAACATACTGTAGCGTGAGAGTCATTATTCTCTTGACGTTAGAACCTTTTAAATCGTAGCTATACGAAACTACTAGCAGCTGAAAGGTTCTAGGTGACATGTATGAAGATGCTCTTGTTTAGAAGATCTGTGATGCATTTAAAACTGTGGTTGTTCGAATCCCATAGAACTCTGTCCAGTTTGAATAACGTCTGGGCAGTTGGGAGCAAGGAGGCGGTGCAAAAAAACTGTTCTTGACGGAATTATGTGCCAGTTATACATAAATATGCTATGATTAAAACTGATTTGTTTGGGTGATCGTACCCCAGTCTACTAAATTAATTAAAGTAAACATTGGTACGATCGCAGTATTGCCCAACATAATCCTTTTTATCGAAGGTATATTATTTACGTCCCATCGCCAGGAATCCCATCAACAGGAATGCTGTCTTCTAAATTGCATTTGCTTCTATCCATCCGTCATTATGTAAGCAATCCATCATTTTTCAAGTAAGGTAAGATTGGATGTCATCCGTAGGGAATGCATCACCCTACGTAATATCTTGAATGATGAACACATGACAACAGGCAATCTGCTTGAATATTGGGCTGTTTACCAAATGGAATGTAGACGCTGTCGAAATATTTATAGCGATATGACAAGAAGATGTTGAGACTAGTCTAAAGTAACGTATGGCACCTTTCGAGCATGAACATAAAATTATTTTGCTCTTGTGAAGCACGCCATTGACAACTTAAAGAAAATTGTTAGCAAGGATGTGAATATCTTAGATCATGTCAACATGGCTGTCAACCTCATGATACTCGAATTCACCTTCATTAAAGCATTTGGTGCAGCCCCTGCAGGCGAAGAATTAAGTTTCAGATTTTTTACCTATTTGGAACCTCACCTTAAATTATTGACTTTTGGTTATCCATTAATTCATTATTCTTTATCTTTTCGTTTACCTTTTTTAATCATCATTTTCATCTTTCATTTTCCTTTTCGTCTCTTTCATAAAATTTCCTTGCTATGTTGTACTTCGGCGTTGGAACGTTATTTACCTGTCGATTTTTGTTACCCGTGACTACAATATCTCCTCGGCACATTGTTAATCTTTGCCAAAAAATGAAAACCGTTGTGAATTCCTAAAGCCTCATTTAATAAATGTATTCTTGCTGGCTTTCAACTTGGTTTCTTTTTTTCTATGATCATTAACCTATTTTTGTTTTTTCGAACTGAATTTTAAACAAACAAGTTTTACTTTAAATTACGATAAACAAATTGCAATAGGAACAAGAAATACTTGAACATTTGTAAAACGAGACCAACAACGCTGTGCATAATCCGAATTCAATATTAGACACTTTTGGCAAGAGGCACTTTGTTACACGAACATAACGCGGTAAACAAACAAATGTTAAATGCTACAACATCTATGTATAAGAAACGCGTATTTCACTTTACACAGACCAGACTGACACACTCGGTAGTACCATGCGCGACTGCCAGATGTAGACACATGTACAACCAACGCGGGAAAAAAGCCACTGAGAAACAGAAGCAGAATCGTTTGAAAACGATAGCGGTAGCGATGTGATTTACAAGTCGTCGTTTGGACGTTTGCCGTCTTTGATTTGAGTGGGAGACGACAGAGGTGAATTTTGGCATGAGTCAGTGCCGCTGACGGAGCTGCAAGGAGTATGAGAAGACGTTGGAGTGAGGCAGGTCAACGAGGCAGCGTTCGGTGAGTCGGACGAGTCCATGTCCGTCAAATGACTGTTACTGTAGACGGTGTCACAGAGGCTGGCCGACTTCTGCGTCGCAATGCTCTCTACAATTTGTGACAGACAGTCTAGACTGGATACAGCAGCAGCATTGCTAGCAGCTATAGCAGCCGCGTTTGACTGTTCAAACACTGTAACAGAACACACCTACAGTAACCTATTTCTCTAA